TATGAAATTTATGGTTTATGCTTGGCGATATTTACCAAAATTTTATTAAAATCGGAAACCTATAGATTGAATGTAACACTTAAAACATGATTCTATTCAAAGCTGGTGGAGACAAAAGTTTCAGTTAATTGTATATAAGAAAATATAATTAGCCATAATACATCTATATTATTCTTATATTCTTATATCTTCATATCTTATATTCTTATAAATATATTAACGAAGCTTGAAAGTGGTTCGAATAACAGGCATTAATATGTTTTAACTTTTTTCTTCTTTTGAAATAGGACAAAAGTATGTAAATAAAAAACAAATAATCATTTTATAAAAAGAAATTATACAGCAGCGTTGTTTATTCAAGCATCTAAATATTCGTTCGAAGTATATTACCTGCAAAATACAAACTATAAAACGACTTTTTAATGAAACAAAATAACATAACATTACAAAAAAATAACTGAATTTCCAAATATCGATGATGCGTGAATATGAAACTGATGTAAATAACTAATATTATAAACTAGAAATATTCCAAAAAAAATATATAAAAATGTGAGGAAGTTCTATACCAATATTTTATGTGAAAATGGCCGAAGACAAATAAATAAATCGTCTGCGTTTTTTTAAGTTAAAGAAATGGCTGTCGACGCCATGTTGTTGTTTCTATTTTAGGAAATTCTGAAGTTTTATAGACTTTTTCCTCGTTGTTGTGTCTTGAAAAAGGGAGTTTAGTGTTAAAGTGAAATAAATCTTTATGTTTTAAGGAAACGATAGGGAAAATTCGGTAAGAGATGACGAACATAGTAATTGTTTCAAAACCTATGTGTTCTGTTCTACAATCGAACGATACCAAGCGTGACTCGCTTACATTGTTTATAAGGGTTGAAATGTAGGAGAGAGAAAAAACAATTGACCCATAGGGATTTTCAAATTTAAATTGAAAAACAATTTTATTTATTTATTTATTTTGCTGCAGTCTACGCTGCTCTAGGTGTTTATTTAATATAAGAAAGGAGAACCTCTACCCACCTTTGTCCGTTACGCTCACGAGTTTTTCTCTCAAAGCTATTTTACATTTCAGTCATCTTTGTCTCGTTCAAAAAAGAAAAAAAAAGGTTTTTTTAAGGTTTAAGGTTAAAATACTTCAGTAAATGCTTCTGAAATTACCTTTGTTACACTAAAAAATTACATTTCGTCGTGGTATAAGCGTGTACTAATGTAATCAGATAGCAAAATAAGGTTTATTTTAACTCAGCAAAAATCTTTTAATGTAAACCTAAAAAGGTTTCTTATGCAGTTTACGTGTAAACCTTTTAACCTTAAAATGAGATCTGTGAATAATTTGTTATGAAATTCTGTCTCATGATACAAAATAATATTTGTAGAAAACTTTTCATGTTGAGCTTTCTTTTAAAAAGTACGAAAGCAACTTGAAAATTGGAATTTTTTTTTTAGTTGCCAAATACGATTCACTACTGAAATAGGAATTTTTTTTTAAAATTTTTCCCACGCATGCGTAGTATAAAAGAATTACTTCAATTACTCATATCTTGAGCAGTTTTAAACGAATTTTTCTCAAATTTTAAAGCAAAATTTTTTTAATTAATTTTAAATTGCTCTAAAAATTTGTTTAATTTTATTGAATAATTTTAAAGTTATAGTAAGGAAAAGAAACGATAATTAAATAATTAAGAAATTCAAATTGGACTTTTTTCTTTAGTTGCCAAATACGATTCACTACTAAAATAGGAATTTTTTTAAAAATTTTCCCACGCATGCGTAGTATAAAAGAATTACTTCAATTACTCATATCTTGAGCAGTTTTAAACGAAATTTTCTCAAATTTTAAAGCCAAATTTTTTAAATTAATTTTGAATTGCTCTAAAAATTTGTTTTATTTTATTGAATAATTTTAAAGTTATAGTAAGGAAAAGAAACGTAAGACAAAAAAAATAGTTTTTTTTTTTAAAATATCCATATTTTTATAAATATTTAAGCTAGGCTTACGAAATACTCCCTTTCTAATTTATATGTAATTACGCGCATAACTACTACGCACATTACACCAATCCAAAACCTAGGAAAACAACCTTCTACATAAAAACCTAAATCCTTTTACAACGAAAGGTTTTAAACTGAAATGTTTTTGCTTTATTGAAAAAAGGTTTTTAGTACAAACATTTTCGCGACAATAGAAAGAAAATTCCGACACACGGTTGCCGTAAGGTTTGCTTTCTGGGTTAATTATTAGTAAGGCCCGGATTTTGATGACATCTGCATTTTTTTGCATTTTTGAACATTTTTTGTCTTTTAGAGCATTTTTTTTAGATTTATAGGGCATTTTTCTTGAAATTTTGGTGCGTAATAAAGAAAATCTATAGGATATTAACAGGTGAAGCAACATCTTTTCAAATTGAAGAATTGTCAGTAAGTAAGACCGCCTTTTTCAAGTACGCACCTTAACATCAGTAGACGTTGAAAGAAGCTTTTGCAGGAATGAAAATTTACTTTCAGACAAGAGACGCACGTTTACATTTCAAATTATCAAAAAACATTTAATAATCCAATGTAATTCTGATATTTAGTAATATTATGAGATGGAAGTTGTTATATCCATTAAAGTTTCTATACAAAATAAAAATATTTTGGTGTCAATATATTTTCCTTTTTTTTGTTATTTTAGGATATAAAACATATTTTTCAAACTATAATGAGCGTAGAACAAGTATTGCATTGCTTTATATCTTTTAAATGACTCATAATAATTTTAAAGAGCAAAACATTTTTTAATTCAATATTTTTACTTTATTTAAGGCATTTTTTGCGCAATTTTTGCATTTTTAAGGGCATTTTTTGCACTTTTTAAGGGCATTAGTTGAGATTTTTTAGGTCATCAAAATCCGGGCTCTAATTATTAGTGAATAAACTAAGTGACTACAAAACGTTACAAATATGAATAAATAAGGGAAAGATTAGAAATAGGTTGTACCTTGTGATACTAAAAACGCCATAAATAAATAAAATAATAAATAAGTGTATTAATTGAGTGTATCTATAACGAATCTGAAAGATGCAACAGAATAAATAGATAAGTGAATTAATAGAACGTTTGTAGCAAATCTAAAATTAAATAAATTAATTAATTAAGTATGTGAATTAATAATATCTTTCATGTGTCTCTATAAAACGCCTCAAGAATAAAGAGGTGAACTAATAAGGTGTATCAAAGGAATCTAAGAAACCACCACAAAATTAAATAAATAAGTGAATTAATTGAGTATACCTAGCATATCTAAGGAACGTAGCAAAACTTTTCTGAAAAAAGTGGCCCGCGAAATTTAAGGAGTATTAAAAAATTAAAATTAAATACATAAATGAAAATAAATATTTAAAAATAATAAAACTTGAATTAACTTAAATAAAAAAATAAAAATGCAAATAAATAAATATAAAATTAAATAATTAAGCAAAATTAAATAAATGAAACAGTAAAAAAAAATAGACATAGCGAAAATTAGCTATAAAAAATTTGTATAATTTATAAAAATAAAATTTCATTGAAATAAAAAGAGAGAGAAAAAAAAATTCATTCAATAATCGCAAAAGCTTTTATTTTTTTAAATCTATTTATTTCATTTCATTATTTCATTTCATTTGTTTTATTTTATATAACGAACAATTTTTCGGAATTTTATTAAGTTATTTATTATTATTTTTTTTAACTAAGCGAAAGCTTATGAAAAATAGTTTGTGAGGCATTACAATTTTTCTTCAATCGTGCTTTTAATGCCGGGAAACATCTATATTTCAAAGAATTTTTTAATTTGACTAATTAATATTACTTAAATTTTTTTTTCTTTTTATAGTTATCAAAATACATTTTATCAACATTCACAAAAATATCGCACAGATCAACTCTCTAGGTATATAATATTTCCTTAATTATTTATTTATTTATTTTTTGAAGAAAAATTTTGTCTGCTTGTTATAAAAACTATCGTAACAAAAAACATAAATAAAAATAAATTATCAAATAAAATGAAAGTAACGAAAATAATAAAACTCAAAAAATTGAATAAAAATAATATATTATATAAAACTAGAGAAAAAATTAAAATTAGTATATTAAATAAAGCTGAAATAAATTTAAAAATTAATACATTAAATTATCTAAAATTTAAAAATCTCGTTAAAATTTAAAAATCGTTTGTAAAACGATTCCTTTGCTTTTCATGGAATAAACCGCATTTCTTAATCTGACTACTGAAATTGGTCAGACACTGCCTTAAAAAGGTCCGAATCTGCATGGTTTATCAATAGTTTTAGTTTTCTTGTCACGTTTTCGTAATTTACGCTTTATTTCAAGCTATCATTACAAAAAAATAAATAAATGAAAAAAAAAAAATAAATAAATTATCAAATAAAATAAAATAAAAGAATAAAACTCAATAAATGGAATAAAAATAAAATATTGAATAAAGCTAAAAAAATTTTATTGTATATCAAATATAGCTAAAATAAATTTAGAAATTAATGTATTACATTGTCTAAAATTTAAAAATTAATATATTCATTCATCTAAATATATTTTATTAATCATGACAAAGAAAATAAATAACGATCGAAAAATAATGAAATGATATACTTCATTTCATTACCGATTTTCAAAAAAAAAAAAAAATAATAAATAAAATAAACGATTTTAAGGGATTAAAACAGCAAACAATATATAATTGGCAGTAAATTACATTGAAGGGGCCATAAGTCTAGACATTTCTTGTACACCCCTTCTAAGGAAAAGCGACCTTGTCCACAAAGTTTGCCCTTTCTTTCCTTTTAAACGTCCTTGGAAAATTACCTGAGCCAGTTCATTAAAAAAAAAAAAAAAAAACACCTGAGGCTTTGTTTCTTTCCAAACACGAAACAATATCGCCAAATCTGGGAAGATTCAGGGATGGATAGTACAGAAGTGGATCAGCTGAGTTGCAGCATTTTGGCGAGATTTGGCGCAATGTTTAGGTGAGAATAGAACTTTTTTGTAAAGTTGTTATTGCCGGCTCAAAACTTGACCGGGTGAGAAGTTGATCGGAGTTAGTGGTATGTTTCTTAAAATGGCAGCGTGTTGTTTCTCAAGAACTAGAATTCATGTTTTTGTTTCGGAATAATTCTATGAATTTGACTGTTTTTTGGGAAGACAATAAATACAGTACGTAAGCAGTGAACAGTGTTAGTGAGAACCTGAATCTTGGTGGAATTTTCTTAGCTTTTGGAATAAACTTTATATTTGTGGTCAGGTAAGTTAAAATTACAAGGAAAACTTATTCTTCTCAATTGTTTTATTATTATTTTAAGCAAGAAGTTAGCTTAGTAAGTTCTTTATTTTCTTTAACTTACGCATGTGCGCGTAGAACGTGAAAATAAACACAGATTAATATCAGAACGGAATTTGTTGTAAACTGAACGATTTTCTTTTTACTTCCTTATCTATTTGACGGTGATGAATATTCGTATGTTTGCTAATCTCAAAATGTAATTATATACTATTAAACTTTCCAAAATTGTTCTATAATACATCAATTGCATATATAAAAAAGAACTAGTTTTTACGCGACTATCTTAATATCGGAATAAAGAATTATTGTAGAAATTAACTTTCAATTCAAGAAAAAAACATAACCATTTTATAATTAGTAACTATATACTACTGATATTTCCCAAATCGTTTTTAAATGCATCAATTTCATTCGTCGAATTGAGCGAATTAATACGTCTCTATATTTATTAATATCGGAATAAAGAATTAGAAATAAAATTTATTTTTGTTTCAGACGAGAACTGTGATTTAAGTATTTTGGAATTTATAAATACATAAATTAAAATTTTTAAATTGTTCCATAATACTACTATAAGTTGAAGCACGAAATAGCTTATTATTTGTACATTGTTGGGGTATTTATTTATTCTAAGTAGTCAGTTTTCAAAATTGTTCTTTAAAGATACGAATTGCGTGTTTATGAATGAAATTAAAATTTGATGTTTTGAGTTTGTATTTGCCACAGCTATTTTCTTTCTTAAATTTGTTATCTAAAGTTAGGGTTCACCCACTCATCTAAAGGTATTTTAAATTTATACTTAAAGCCAATTTAATTTAAATAGGCGTCTTTTTTCTTAACTTTTTGAATTTTCGAAATGCTTTTCCAAAATAAAATAAATCTTATACCTTATGCATTTATTGCTAGCAAAAACTTTTTAGTTTTTGTTCTAATTCTAAATACCATCGTTCTATATTGTTTTTGAAAATTTAATTTGTTTCGACACTTGATAGATTTTATAATTTTTATTTATCAAGTTTATTAAATATTTGAAAATGTTATTTTGGGGGAAATTGATTGTTTTTGTTTAAACTTGAACGTAACTAATTTAATTTTTGTACTCTATTTCGCTTCCTTATGAACTTATAAAATTACATGTTTTTGTATTAATTGTAAAAACCGTATTTTCCAACATTATTAACCTGTTTAAATATATCCTCAAAGCTTGCAGTCATAAAATCTAATGTTCTATTTTATACTTTTACACTTATTGCCTTAGAGTTTAATTGTAAAACATGGTGGTTATGCAGAGCAATGTAGGTTAAGTGAAGTGTATTCCGCTATATTTTGAAAAAGTACTGTCTGTTTCAGAACGTATTACTCATTTTTAGATAGAAGCAAGTCGCACGACCTAAATGCTTCCTTAAACTTCTTTTTTTTTTGTCAGACGAAGTTTATAGCACCGTTTAATCAGCTTGCCTAGATTATTTAATATCGTTCAAGTTTAGCGATTTATATTAATTCTGGCTTGTGTGTGGTTAAATTCAAGGATGGTTTTTTTCATCTTCTTGGTGGATATTTGCTCTTTTTTAAAAATTTAATAAAAAAAAAATAAATAAATAAAATTTTGCTTTTTTTTAAATTTCCGAAAAATAATTCGTTTTTTACGCATTTTCGTACCAGTGTAAACGCGATTCAAAATTGCATTTACTGGATTTTAAAATCATATCGTGATCGAATATTCACGTGATTTAAAATTGCACATCTCGATTCGTATTCACATGATTTAAAATTATACATCTCGAGTCTTATCCACGTGATTTAAAAATTACACATCTGTATTCTTATTCACGTGATTTAAAAAATCTCCTGCTGGAATTCTTATTCACGCGATTTAAAAAATCTCCCATTGGAATTCGTATTCACGCGATTTAAAAAATCTCCCATTGGAATTCTTATTCTCGCGATTTTAAAATCTCACATCGAGATCAAAATTCACTTAAAATTAAAAAAAAAAAATCATTAAATTTTTTATTCAGCATTGTTCGTAATTCGATATTTTTATTATTGTTTTATTAAAATATTGATGATCTTGGGATATATGCTTTTTACATGCACTTCTTAATTCGGGAATTTTTTCTATTTAAAATTTGTTTTACACACTTTTTTGGATTTTTGTAAATTGGACATTCGCCTTAACTGATAATACGCAAAAAGATCCAGGAACTTGAAAAACATATTTTGTACATGATTGATATTTTTGATAACTTCTTACTTATCAGAATAATGTATTAATTTGTATTATCAACGACTTTTGTCAGTCAATTCTTCTTTAAAAATTGTTTTTAAATGTCACTTCTCGAAAATCGACAACAGGGATTTATAGTCGTCGAAGAACAACATATTTAGAACAAAATATTTATGTAGTCTAGAACACTATCATTAACTCTGTTACAAAAATAAATTGAGAATTGGAGAGCGAGAAAATATTTAAGTCAAATAAGTTTGTTTCTACAAAAAATGTATATAAATATAATATGCATATATTTTTTTAAAATATTATAGATTTGGAAAAAAATTTCTATGTAACAGTGAGATTTGGTGGACGAGAATATATGTATACTACAAGTGTACAGTGTGCCGGAAAAAAAATGGCCTATCTTAAATAACTTTTGATCTAATGATGGGACTCTAGGACTCAATCTTCATGGTTGTCAATATGACCTCAAATATGCTAATTAGTTCGTGGAGACGATATTTTAAGTTGCGAAATCGGCAACAAAAGCGTTCTTTCTCCGAATAAACATACCTTTTTTTCCGACGGATTCGGATTTCTGAACCCCAAAATATCAATCTGCAATCCGGCATCTGTAAATCTGTTGCCGCAATCTGGGAAATATAGTCCCCATATGTTGCTCAGGAAAGCGATTTAAAATTTGGACCCAAAAATGTAAATTTTAATTTTTTGCATATTTTGTCGTATCTCGAACTTTTTAGCAAATTGAAAAAGTTTTGCTCTCTGTTATAGAATTTTCTAATCCGATGATGAATCCCTGATATCCAATCCAAAGATGAATTAACATGAAAAAATAAATACATTTTAGTGAATATTTATTATTTTGTAATTTATTTAATAACATTCGAAACAAATTTTGATAAGGTATAAAAGTGTTTACGTCATTTTAAAGTATGTAATTTTACATGGTAAAATACAGGTGAGCGAAAATTTTAAGAAAGTCGTATATTTAAAATTTGATTTCTCAGGAACTATTCGACCGATTTGATTTACCCAAACTATAGAATGATGTTTTTACGAAGGCCAAATCTCTGGCGCCACTTAAAGGAAATGCTGCTTCTAAATTTTCATGAGCAAGTTTTTTTTCCCTTCAAATATCTGATTTACTATTTGAATTGGATTAACATGAAGTTTGACTCTAAGAATACATTTAATTTTCTAATAAGAACTAAGATTTTACACAGATATGATCGTTGATGATATGATATGAGCGTTTCTTCTTTTTGTCATAACATTCAGAGCGTTATTAAGTTGTTTTTCTTCCTTAATTCCTATTGTTGCAGCATATTTTGTGTGGCAATTTTTTTCTTCTTTGAGGAATTCTTTTAATATGGCCTCGAGTTGACAAAAAAAAAGGAAGAAAATTTTTGATCCCCACCTTTATATATGTTTAGTGTTCTCAATCTGGATATTTTATTTTTGGAATTGGCGCCGGCTTACCTGGTCACCCAGGTATATTATCTTTGTCCCCGTTATTGAGATGTTGCTCATGTTGTCTCCCCCTCCTTTGTTTCCCCCCCTTTTCTGTTTTGCCGCAGATTGCGAATCGTTTAATTATGTTTTATCTTTCAATTAAGTGATCAGTTATTTTAGATTCGAATTGATCTAAATGCATACCAAAATGTCGCATGTAACAAAATTTTAAATTGCGATTCGAATAAATTGCTTGTTTTCTATGCTTAATATTATGAGAATATTTTATCTGGAATTCTAAAATTGCGCAGGAATGTATAAGAACTTAATGCCAGAAAATTTTATCCAGTATGCAAATGATATAATCGTAAACTTTGAAAGAGTTCAAAAACATTAAGAGTTTTTTTATGGTCGTTTTTTAAACTTTGCCCTTGCATGAGTGTTTTGAAACATAAAATACGGATGTGGAGGTTAGCGTAAGATTATCAACTCACGCATAAAAAACGGTGTTAAACTAGTCTGAATATTAAGATGGAAAAAACTAAGTAACATTGTAAGGAGGTCCTGCGTTTTAGACCACAGGCTTTGTTATGGTGTTTAATTAAAACTTTGTGGAATTAGATTAAAACAGTTATTCTAGCACGCAGCAGTAATTTTGCTCATGGAACTGTGGAGTTTTTATTTTGATCTTAACTCAAAAAGCGCGTTTAAGAAAATGAAAGCTCAAAATGCGCGTTTGATGATCGGAATGTAACTCAAAAAGCGTATATGCGGAAACGAGCGTATACACGTTTGAAACGTAATGGACTGATTTCAAAATACATGTTTTATAACCGTCGTTGAACCACCGAACAAATTTTCAATTTACGCCTACCAATGTTCAATTCCGTATCCTTGTAATTTTGAACTCAATCCAGAAGACAAAGGAACTCCTAGATGATGCATCGGGAGAAATTTGCCTTCGTGGAGGACTTTTTGATGGAACTAATCCGCATTTGCGTTACATGGAGAGGAAATCCACGAAAACCTCCTACGGTTAGCAGGGGTCTGTTTAGAAGAAATTTGGGTCCGTTAACGGACCCTTCACAAAATATCTTTTCATAAAAACGGACCCTTCACAAAATATTTTAACTTAAAAACGGACCCTTCACAAAATGATTTTTTCTTTATATCGGACCCTTCACAAATTTGTTTACCTTCATTATTATTTTGTTAATCGAATAAACCCTTTCCAGGGCCGAAAACAAGAAAGATGGATGTAAACGAATTAAGT